TCTTAGTTAAGTATTTAAAAATCTCCTTAGTCGCTCTATGCTCTCTGACCTCTTACAATATTTGCCACTGCCCCTCTTTCTGAAGTATGTGAATTTTCTCCTCTGATGAGCATGAGTGTATAGTGTATACTCTGTTGTATTTCTGGTGTATTTGATACTCTCATCCATCTGTTTTTCTAGAATAGTCCCACTTTCTCCTCCATGAAACTTCACTGAATCCCATTGGTATTTTGCATCTCTGTTCTTGAATCTTTCTGATTATAACTGGAATTTTGTTAAAGCCCATTTGCTTTCTGCCTTTATTTTTTAATTTTTTTAAGATTTTATTTATTTGACAGCGAGAGAGGGAATACAAGCGGGGGAGTGGGAGAGGGAGAAGCAGGCTTCCCACGGAGCAGGGAGCCCAGTGCGGGGCTCAGTCCCAGGACCCTGGGATCATGACCTGAGCTGAAGGCAGATGCTTAATGACTGAGCCACCCAGACGCCCCAAAGACACAGATTTGCTTTCTGCCTTTAAAAATTTTCACTTTCCATGTTATTAGATGGAAACTAATTTGCATCTAGTTCTAGTTACGTTTCCCCAGTTGACCTCAAAGACATTGGATACTGTTCTTTGTTCAGGCGTAAATCTAATTTCCTTTCTTAATGGTTCTGAATGTTAATGCCTTTGCAGGAGCCTCAGGGAACCCAGCCAGCATACCAGGAGCAGCAGCAGTTTGGCCCATGCCACTATGAGATGAAACAGTTTCTGGAGTGTGCCCAGAACCAGGGTGACCTGAAGCTTTGTGAAGGTTTCAGCGAGGTGCTGAAACAGTGCAGATTTGCAAATGGTAGGTGATAACATCAATCCCTGATTGAACCTGCATCTGTGCAATTCACAGCATGATACTCCTGGGCCCTATAGAACTTTGGGAGTCTGTGTAGTAAATTAAACGGACAAGTTAGAGGAGATTTTGTTTACATTCTAAAAATAATCTAGTTTTTCTAACAAAGAGCTGGTCCAGTGGTTTCTAGTCATTATCTTACGCTTTTACCAGTTATGTTGTGAATCTGATTCTTCCTTAAGTGGGTGTAGATTAGTGTGCCAGGTCTTGTTCTGGTTACAGGATGTGGGTGTTACAGCTTTAAAGCTGTGAATAAAAAATGATATTCCATTTTCACTGAAGTCCAAGGTTGGGTATAAAGACTGATAAGTCCTTGGCATTCTTCACAGATTATTTGAGAGACAAGTGTATTCAGTCCCTCAGTGGAACTCTGAGGTTTGGGCTGCGTGGAATGTTGGCAGTGAGCTTGTTTTTATGTAACGTCCCCTTACTGACCTAAGAATTCACCATCTATTAAAATGTTCCGTTTTCATTTTCCTGCCTTCATATAGGCAAGAAACTGATAACCTTGGGCTTTCATCCCTCCTACCATTTGGAGGGCTTCTGCTTTGCTAAGAATATACAGCTATTTCTCTTCTCACTGATCTTTTCTGTTTGCAGGATTAGCCTAATCAAGACGTTCAAATTGAAGATAAGGAAAATCATCTCTCATAACCAAGTTAATTTAGCATAAAAATATAATTGATGGTGAATGGTGACTATATGAAGTGTAAAACCACCAGTTAAGCTTCTCCTTCATCATTAAATACAGCTTTCTTCAGAATTGGAATAAAAAAGGTTGTTCTTACTGTATGGAAGTTCATTGAGATGGTTTGAATTTGGGGTTGGGCAGATATTTGTGTGCCTCCTTAAATCACCTTTTGTGGGATGTTCTCATTTGTGAATTAGAATAAAGTGATTTTCTCCCAAAATGTGTCTTTGAAGTGTAAGATTATAAATTGATAACGGTATTTGCATTTTGCAAAAGTACTCCACTGTCTTAACATGTCTTTAAGCATATCCGTTTTATAGTCTCAGTATTAAATTCACATCCATCTGGATGATCTGGCCAGGCTCCCTGAGCTTTTGTAGAAAAGTAGTTCTGTAAGGAGTAGCTCACTAGTAAACATAGTGCTCTTTAAAAAGGTTCCAGGTGGAAGGCCAGTGTTTGGTAAACTGAGCAGTAACAGGAAATGTGGGAATAGACCTATTACGTGAGTGGGTTCCTCTGGCCAGGTCAGCACTACATGTCAATTCCCCTAGTGTATCCAGTTAATTGGTCAGAGATGAAAACCAGCCTCTCAATACAGGCAGTCCCCCTGCAAATGTTTTTCTTCTATGTAAGGAACTGTAGCTTCCCTTTGTTGAAAGACTCAAGCTAGCTGCGACTGCCCACTCCCATGCTGTCTTGAGATGAACTCAATTTGGGGTGCATCATTTTTTAAAAATGAACCTAGCTCCCTTCTTCACAACTCAAAATTATATTCACTTCTGGAAGTTATCTCCAGCCTACGTTGTGCTCTGCACTTTTCCTACTTTCCAATGGACCTTTCCGAGGCTATCTGATTTCTTTTCCAATCTGTAAGTTTCAGAGACCTGTGTTACTACAAGGTGAGGAAAGTGCTATTGAGTAAATTTTTCAGTTGCTGTCTCCTGTTCTCAGCTCTGTTCTTAAGAGTACTCTACTCTTTTTTTTTTTTAAGATTTTATTTAATGACAGCGCAAGTGGGGGAGCGGCAGGGAGAGGGAGCAGGCTCCCCACTGAGCAGAGAGCCTGATGTGGGGCTCCCTCCCAGGACCCTGGGATAATGATGTGAGCCAAAGGCAGACACTTAACCAACTGAGCCACCCAGGTGCCCCTAGAGGGCCCCACTCTTACTGAGTTCCTGAAAGGGGCCAAGACCACCTTGCCTGAATCACCACAGACAGTTCACTCCTGGCAAATCCCCCACCATATTTCCTTCTGGATTCATCAGGTGGGCTCCTTCGCCCATTTCTGGGAAAGCTCAGGACTTCTAAGTTCATAGTGCTATTGCCTCTTATGTCCAAGGTGTGATGGTGTATGGTGGGTCCCTAATAGTGTATTGAATCAATGAATCAAGGGAAAATGGGGCACCTGGCTGGCTTAGCAGGTAGAGCATGTCACTCTTGATCTTGGGGTTGTAAGTTAAAGCCCCACATGGAGTGTAGAGTTTAAGTTAAAAAAAAAAAGTAAACAGCCGTCAAAAAGAATGAAATCTTGCCATTTGCGATGACGTGGATGGAACTAGAGGGTATTATGCTAAGTGAAATAAGTCAGAAAGAAATACCATATGATTTTACTCATGGGGAATTTTAGAAACAAAACAGATGAACATGGGGGAGGGGAAGGAAAAATAAGATGAAAACAAGGAGGCAAACCATAAGAGACCCTTAACTATGGGGAACAAATTGAGGGTTGCTGGAGGGGAGGGGGGAGGGGGGAGAGGGCAACCGGGTGATGGGGCATTAAGGAGAGCGCTTGAAGTAATGAGCACTGAGTGTTGTATGCAACTGATGAATCACTGAATTCTCTATCTCTGCAACTAATAATACAGTATATAATTGAATTTAAATAAGGTAAAAAGGAGAAGGAAAATGAACTGCTGACATCAATAAAATGCAAGAGTCTGGCTGTCCTGGCCTCTCCCTGGTAGGAGCCATGGCTACACAGAGATAGACCCAGGGAATAATCCACTAGATACATTGGCCTTTTGCCCTGAGGTCAGAAGGGATTTTATAAATGAAAGTATAAAGCAGAAGTCAAGTCTATAGCTTAGCATGAGGACAACAAAAGGGATCGGGGAGCTTAGTGACAGTGAGTGAAAGGAGGAGATGGAAGTGTTCCCATCATTGGAGCCAGATGTTGCATCTCAGCAAGCAGAGACCTTCATGCATAGACCCCCAAGTCATGGGCAACTCCTGTCTATGTAGCAATCCAGCAAAGTATCTCCCCAGAGTGGAAGAAATAGGTGGTCAGCATCAACAGTGGAAAGAGCGCTTGGGCCCACACCTGGGGTTAGTCTGGGCCCTCCTACTCACCTATTTAGTGACCTTGAGCAAGTCACATTCTCTGTACCATGGGCTTAATACCAGAGTTTTAGGGTGCAAGTGAAGATGTGCAAGTGCTTTGTGAAATGCTAATCAAATGGGTGCTTGTGGGCTCAGCCTCTGTGTGAAGCACTGTATTACGGCTCCCTTCATTTGTTATATTAGAATTAGGGGTTTGAAAAAAGGGAGCTTTAGGGGCACCTAGGTGGCTCAGTCGGTGAAGCATTGGCCTTTGGCTCAGGTCATGACCTCAGGGTCCTGGGATTGAGTCCCACATCGGGCTCCTGGCTCAGCAGGGAGCCTGCTTCTCCCCCTGCCGCGCCCCCTGCTTGTGTGCTTTCTCTCTCTCTCTGACAAATAAATAAAATCTTAAAAAAAAAAAAAAAGAAAAGTAGCTTTAGAACGAGAGCAACAAGTAAGTGTCTACTGTGTGCCAGCATGTCACATACATTATTTCCAATTCTGTCAACCTCTTAATCATACTGATGGGGACCCTCACCCAAACAGCCCGAAGGTGTACCCTGTCAGAGCTCATATGCTTTTCCTGGCACCCGGAGCTCCTCCCAATGGCCCACAGGCTGAAAACCAAATGGGTTAAGGATGAAATCATGGAGGTAGATCAGAGATGGATTCCTAACGGGGATGTTCCCTAACGCTTAAAGTGTGCACTTTGCAGGTCAGCCACACAAACTGTTCCTGGGTGGGCCCCAACGTCTGGGTCCCCATGGCAGCCAGGGCTGCTCTGTGGATGTGCCAGTGCTGGGGTTTCTCCAGACCCCTGCTCTCTGCACATACGGAAATGGCTCCCAGAGAAGTGAATGCATTCCCACCAAGGCTGGCTTTGTCTCCTCTGTGCCTGGAGGCCAACAGAGCTCCAAAGGGGAGGAGACTGGTCACCTCCGCTGAGCTTCCCTCACCCTCCAGCAGAGGTCACCTCCTGGTGAGACTTGGCCCCTGCTGGGCCTTGGCCTGCATCCCAGGTTTGCAGTTGTGATTTATTTCTGGTACGTCAGCCTTCCGTCACCAAGTAGCAAAGCCCGAAGGACGAGCAGCAAGATATCCTATTGTGGCCACGAGTCCGCGGGGGACCAGCTTCAGCCCTCAGTTGTCCCCAATCCCCAAGGGGCTCTGAGACCTTTGGGATTCCTGTCACATTCACTCAAGGGCCTGCGAGGACCTAACAGTGAGTAGCTGGGCCAGTGATGGACAAAAGCCAGGCGACAGGCAGAGAGGGAGAGGCTCTGCGGCAGAGAAGACAGAAACCCCAAGAGCTGTTAGACCCACTTTTCCCTTCTGAAGGCAGATGGATACAGAGTAACACCATTGACTCTTGAAGCCCCCTCAGGGTATTTGCCTACAGAAAGTGGGTTCCCTGTATTTTCAGACTCTCTGAGCTTGGGGGAGGGATGTTTTGTTCCAAAAAGAACCAGGTTACCTACTCCTGTCTGGGGACCCTTTCCAAAGGAGTCTTGGGAAAGGTGTGGGGAGTGTGGGCGGAGGCAATGGACAGAAGCCCAAAGATGGGGCGCCTGGGTGGCTCATTCGTTAAGCGTCTGCCTTCGGCTCAGGTCATGATCCCAGGGTCCTGGGGTCGAGTCCCACGTCGGGCTCCCTGCTCAGCGGGAAGCCTGCTCTCCCTCTCCCACTCCCCCTGCTTGTGTTCCCTCTCTCGCTGTGTCTCTCTCTGTCAAATAAATAAATAAAATCTTTAAAAAAAAAAAAAAAAAAAGCCCAAAGATGGCCCCAGGTTAGGCCTAGAGCAAGGGGCTGGCCCTCCGCCCCACCCCAGGAGAGGTGAGTGCATCCAGAGTTCTGTGAGGCTCGCCATGTCCGGGAATGGAGCCCCCAGCCTGGATGGCTTCCTGGGGTGCGTCCAGATATACCCTCTGCCTGTAGTGGGCTGGGGAAAGGGAGAGACCGTGTGCTACCCAGTTTGGGGAAGTGGGGGGCACAGATGCCCATCTTGGGAACTTAAAAAGGACTTGCGAGGAAATGGGCTTGTTTTAACAGGAACAGATATTTCTGTGCTCGGTTGGGGTTGCTGACTGGGAAGGCTGTGAGCAGCCCAGGCACCGGCTGTTGGCAGAGGAGACTGTTGTTATTCTAATTCTTCCTCTGGTAACCAGGCACCAGCACTGGGGACACTAGGCTTCCTGGAACAGCTAGCCCCACTTGGCTGGTCAGCAAATTGGCCCCTTTGATAGGCCAGGCCTTCTTGGGCCCAGAAAGGGCAGTAGGAGTGGGGCAGAAAAGGGCCCCTTTTCCGTCTGCCCCTCTTCCTGTTGGTAGATGATTTTCGGAAGCCCTGGTTAGGGGCAGAATGAGTAAGAAACAGTGGGAAGCACTGGAAATGTGTTCTGGAAGGAGGGGAGTTTTCAGGTGAGCACAGTTAGGACTGCAGGTGGTTAGGAGCGTCTATAGGAAGGCCTTATTAAGACGAAATCATGAAGCTTCCCATCTTTTCCACAAGTGCAGCGAACAAGCAGAGGAAAAGCAGGACCAGCCTCATTTCCTCAAAGAGAGGAAATAGCCCTTTAATTTGTCCTCTGCAAAGTTTCTCTGGGGTTCTTTCTAAAAGCAAGGGTGTGCCAGCCTCGTCAGAGCTGATCTTGGGGGCTGATGGCCCAACCTCTTGCCTCTGGCCCGGGCTTAGGCCTGGCCAACCATCTGCTGTTGCTACTAGGGATGTGGCAGCTTACAGCGAGAACATTCGGGGAGCCACATGGTTGTCTGGGGTTCACAAAAGTTTACACCCAGTGGGAAGATGCAGGTGGACTCTTTGCAAAGGGTTTTTCAATTCACGTTTATTTTGAACATTCACAATAGACCTGCTCTGTGCCAGGAGATAAAGACGAGCAAGAAAGGGTTCCAGCCCTCAAAAAGCACATCACCTAGATCAGGATGGCTAACAGCTTCTTCTTCTTCTTCTTTTTTTTTTATTTAAAAATTTTTAATTTAAATTCAATTTAGTTAACGCCTAGTGTATTATTAGTTTCAGGGGTAGAATTTAGCTGACAGCTTCTTTCTGTTTCTCTCTCAGAGCCCCTCAGAATCACCCCAGAGTTGCTGAGCATGACGCGGGACGAGGCACTGCCAGACTCGTACTCAGCACAGGGCTTCTATGAGAACTATGAGCCCAAAGAGATCCTGGGCAGGTAAGGCGCAGACCTTCCCCAGGAAGTGCTGTCTTAGGCTCCAGCCAGTTCCATGGGCGCTGAGCACTGACCCTTTTCCATCCCCAAAGCACTGTCCACTTGGAGAAACCCTTAGTTTGGGGTCCTACCCTCCTGACCAGGACAGATGAGAAGGGTATAAAAGCACCCAGATAAGAGACCTCTCCCAGCACGGATCTCCCGGTGCTGTTGCCAAGCACGTCCAAACCCAGCTTTGTGCCAAGTGTCAGAGATCAGGGGTCAGAGGGAAGATTATGGCCTTAGATGCCGAGAAAGAGCACTGAACTAGGAGTCAAGAGTCCTAAGACCAGGCTTATTACTCATCAGCTCCAGACAAATCCCCCTCCATCTGCCTTCTTCATCCTACCATCCCCCAAAGCTCCCAGGGAGTTGGTGGATGAGGCAGGACATCGCTGTGGGGGCTCGGACCTGGGGTTCTCCCTGGGGTCAGGGGCCCCCGGGACCACCTGTGCTCTGCACCCCCAGAGGAGTTAGCAGCGTCGTCAGGCGCTGCATCCACAAGCCCACATGCCAGGAGTACGCCGTGAAGATCATTGACGTCACTGGTGGAGGCAGCTTCAGCTCTGAGGAGGTGCGGGAGCTGCGACAGGCCACGCTCAAGGAGGTGGACATCCTGCGCAAGGTCTCAGGGCTCCCCAACATCGGTGAGTCATGGCCCTAGGACCCAGCAGGGTGCTCCACCATGATTCTGCTCTAATAACCCAAGTCAGGGAGTGCGGCCCCACTCTGCAGCTAGCCAGAACCACCAGGGTGTCTCGTGTCCCCTAAAGCCCCGCCAGCCCAGTGCCCTGAGACTTGAGGTTCCCAGCTCCATGCTCACCGCTGCGGAGATTCCGCTCTAAGCCTCCTCTTCCAGCCAGACAGAAGGGGTTGCAAGCAGGGCTGGGGCTGGTTGCAGGTCGGGGAATGGGAAAGTGAAGTCCCTGGGCGGGTCCCTCCCTGGGGGTCCTCCTTTGAACGCCATTCTGATACCACTTCCAGGTGTTGAGGTGGGTCCAAGCAGCTTTAATCCTGTTGCCTCTCTGCCCAGGCTCTCCTGCTACAAGTTAGTCATTTCCATTTCAGTACAGCTGAAGGACACTTATGAGACCAACACTTTCTTCTTCTTGGTGTTTGATCTGTAAGTACCCAGCCCCGGAGCCAACCACACCCTAGCGCCTGTCGGAGAACCTCCTATTGTGGTCCCCTTTCCAGTGCTTCCTGGAGACCAACAGGCAGCTCTCTACACTGTGGAGGCCAAATAGGATCACCAATGCTTTAGGTAGATCAGCCCTGGGGGTCAGGCTGCTAGGTCTTGAATCCTGGGTCCACCATTTAGAAGCTAGATGATTTCTTTATCTGTTTTCTCATGGGTATTACAGAAGTAATAATAGCACAGTGAATGGCAGGACGTAAATGCTATAAATTATTAACTACAATGATGATGACAAAGGTGGTCACTGAATACTCATTCTAGACATGGAGGAGACAGCAATGAACCAGACATATAAGGTCCCTGACTTCATGTAACAATTTGCAGAGAGAGCGAACAGAAAGCAATAAAATAAAATAAGCCATACTAACTAACGGTGCGCGTACAGATACATAAAGCAGAACAGGGGTTAGAGAGAGGTGGGGCTTCTTTAAATGGAATGGTCGGGGAATGTTCTCCAGAAGGCGACCTGAGCAGAGACCCAGATGAAGTGAGGGAGGGATCAGAGCCAAGACCTGAAGAAGGCTCAGCAGAAGGGCAGAAGGAAGAGCCAGAGCAAGGGCCCTGCTCCCAGTGGGCCTTTTAGCTCTGGGAGCCTCTGTTTTCTCAAGAAAGGAAAAATGACACCAGCCAGGCTCTCAGCATTAAATTCCAACAACACAAAGTGTTCTGTGAACAATGCATTCAGACTTCTTATGATTTTTATCAGAAAAGCTTGCCAGAGAAGGGAGCTCTCCAGCTCCTTGTTCCCCCGCTCCACTGAGGCCTCACTAAAGAATGCAAATCTCTGCTGCATGAATCATGTCGTGGGGGTGGCTTGGTTTCTCCATATGAAACAGCTAATTTAGGGACTGGATTTACTTGAGGAAATTATTCAAGTAGATTTTGTATTGTTTCGCACTGTTCATACTGATGGTGAACGTTTCATACTGTAGCCATACTGAGTATGTGCAGGGTTATTTTACGTGGAGACACAAGGTAACTTGGTCTGTGTGTTCAATTAAACTACCAGCTCCCGGAAGGCAGTACCCAGTGTTTACTGGTAAATCTTTTTGCAGCTGCTAACAGTGAATTCTCCTCGTGTATTTAATATGGAATTAGAATGATAAGAACTGGGGGCGCCTGGGTGGCTTGTTTGGTTAAGCGACTGCCTTCGGCTCAGGTCATGATCCTGGGGTCCCGGGATCGAGTCCCACATCGGGCTCCCTGCTCAGCGGGGAGTCTGCTTCTCCCTGACCCTCTCCCCTCCCGTGCTCTCATTCTCTCTCAAATAACTAAAATCTTAAAAAAAAAAAAAGATAAAAACTGGATTCACACATTGCCTTTTAGGAACACAGTACAGGTATTGTATAAGTAAGGCTCCCCTCTGTAAATTCTAGGCTATCTCCTCAAACAGACCCCCTCCCCACCCCACCAGCTAAGCTCAAGGGTTTTCTTGCCTCTGTGCCACCAGTCAAATCCCTTGTGCCTTAGGAATCCCACCTATTTCCCTGGAGGGGTGAGTGGGAGAGGGCAGGACATACCTTTCCTATTTAACCAGGGGAGACTCTCCCAGGACCCCCAAAACTTAACCAGCCACAGCTGTTCCAACTCCGCTCCATGGCATGGTCCTGTAGAGCCCTTGGGGACAGCTCAAATATCCCTAACCTTTGAAGAAGTTGCTTAGGGAAGCTATTTTTAATGCTGTCCTGAGTTGCCCTCCAGAATATGTTCTAGCAGAGACCTCTTTCTACGTCATCCCAAGAAGTGAGAAGATTGAACCGTAATTCTTAATCCTAAAATAAGCCAAGTGTTGCTCCCCCAGCACTTGAACTATTGCTTCTACCATTCATTCCTGGGAAAAATCAGGATACTCCTGTCCTCCTAATCTGGATCTGGGGCCTTGGGCCAGTGGCTCTGGGTCCCTCTTTCACTTCCCAGCCCTGATTTTGACCCTCACAGATCCCAGTCTGTGCTGTCACTTCCACCGATGGGGGGACCCCAACACTGGTGCCATCCTACCCCTTCACATCCCCTGCTCTTCTAATCTCCAGATAGCCTCTCCACTCACTTCCCCAGCTTTTCCCTACAGCCCTGGGTCCTTCATTGTGGCCTACTTTGTCTCTGGAGATATGAGGAAGGAAATAGGTCTCTGGGAGCAGGATAAGGAGGGGGTGGTCTTGGAACCAATCCAGCTACAAACACTCTGTCCCCACAGGATGAAGAGAGGGGAGCTCTTTGATTATCTCACTGAGAAAGTCACTCTGAGTGAGAAGGAAACCAGGTAAGGATCCACCTGTCCCCATCACCACTCCCTGCCCCAGAGTATGAGTGGTACCGCCACCAAGGTCTTGGAGGGGGCAAAGCATGCATTTGTCTGGGCTGGGGGCGTGCCCTGCAGGCTTTTGTAGCCTTCCCCAGCCTGTCCCGAGTCCTCCCTCACTGGCAGTCTGGCAGGTATATGGGCTTTGGTCTCCTTGCTTGTTACCTGGCCTGCAGAGGAGGAGATAAGAGTTAACATGTGCCTGTCCCACCCCAGAAAGATCATGAGAGCCTTGCTGGAGGTTATCCGCAACTTGCACAAACTCAACATTGTGCATCGGGATCTGAAGCCCGAGAACATCCTCTTGGATGATGACATGAACATCAAGCTCACAGACTTTGGTTTTTCCTGCCAGCTGGAGCCAGGAGAGAAGCTTCGAGGTCTGGTAACATGGCCTTGACCCATGTCAGGGGCTCAGGCTCTCTCATCCACGCTCCCAGGAACAGAAAATGCTTACATTTCTTCCCCAATTCCACTCCCCCCCGCCGGCTCCCGAATAAAAAATCCTACTGTTTCAGGCTAGGTGTCTCTTCAGGTAAGCCTCTTCTCAGGGCTGGGCCAGGTTCCCACCGCCTGAGCTCCAGGCCAGGAGATGACAGGCCCTGGCAGGTGGTCCTAGGAGCCAGCACTCAGCCCCTGCCCTTGGTCCTGAAGTTGGTCAGTGTTAGAATCTGAGTCCCAGCCCAAGCACCGTGGCACTTTCATCTCCCTTTTCTTCTTTGGACCTTTGTCTTCCAAGTGCCCCCGGCTGACCTATCCTGATGGTAACTGTTCCTGCAGAGGTCTGTGGGACCCCCAGTTACCTGGCCCCTGAGATCATTGAATGCTCCATGAACGATGACCACCCAGGCTATGGGAAGGAGGTGGACATGTGAGTGTGCTGGGGAAGGCAGTGACCCATAGGGACAGGGATGTCCCCATAGCTAGGAGCACCTGGCTGGGGAGGGGAGGAAATGGCAGGAGCTACAGCCAGCCCTCCTGCCTTCCTCCCTGTCCACCTGGGGCCAGGTGGAGCACAGGGGTCATCATGTACACCCTGCTGGCTGGCTCCCCGCCCTTCTGGCACCGGAAACAGATGCTGATGCTGAGGATGATCATGAGTGGCAACTACCAGTTTGGCTCACCTGAATGGGATGATTATTCAGACACTGTGAAGGACTTGGTGAGAGGCCAGGCGTGCTGGCTCCTCCGCTCAGGCGAGGGGAAGTCCCCAACAGGGGTGGGGGGGGGCGTGTCGTGCTACAGAATGGAGGACCCTGCTGGGAAGACCCTATGTCTTTTCAAGTGCTGGAGGGGAGCCTGCCTTGGTATTTTCAGCTCCCCTTCCTTATTCTCTCAGGTTTCCCGCTTCTTGGTGGTGAACCCCAAGGGCCGCTATTCAGCAGAAGAGGCCTTAGCGCATCCCTTCTTCCAGCAGTATGTGGTGGAAGAAGTGCGTCACTTCAGCCCCCGGGGCAAGTTCAAGGTACTGAAGCTCCCCTCCCAGCCAGGGCCCTGGGGCAGGACTCCTCACGTCCAAGCCCCCAAGTCCCCTTCCTTCCCTCAGGGACGACTCCTTTCACCCACAGGGCTTCCAGAGCACCTGCCCTTCCCCTCCCCACCCATCCCTGTGATGCTTCCAGTTCAACTTCTGGCTTCAGAGAAGGCAGATGTCACCCATCTGGCTCCTACAGCCTACGTCTCTGCACATGCTGGAGGGGTTGGGATGGTAGGGGGAACACGAGGAAGGGCCCAGCAGTACGCAAACAAGCCTTCATGGCAAACAAGCTCAGGGACTCCCGGCACCAGAAGGGGAAGGAGACAGGCCGGCAGGGGCTGGGCGCAGCCCCTCAGTTCTGGCTCTCCACAGGTGATCGCTCTGACGGTGCTGGCTTCGGTGCGGATCTACTACCAGTACCGCCGGGTGAAGCCTGTGACCCGGGAGATCGTCATCCGTGACCCCTACGCCCTCCGGCCTCTGCGCCGACTCATCGATGCCTATGCTTTCCGAATCTATGGCCACTGGGTGAAGAAGGGACAGCAGCAGAACCGGGCTGCCCTCTTCGAGAACACACCCAAGGCTGTGCTCCTCTCCCTGGCTGAGGAGGACTAATGAGGGGCTGGCAGGCGGGAAGGTAGGGTCGGGGGCAGGCAAGGAGGCAAAGCCACAGAAATGTCAGTTGAGGAGCAAGATCATGTCCAGGCCTCTGTCCAGAGGGGGCCCTTGGCCCTGGCCAGGACCCCTGGAACTAGGGCCACTATCCCCTCTCAGAGGCTCTGCACAAGAAGAGCAGGGTGCTCCCATCACATGTTGGCAAGTGTGCTCAGGGCCAGGCCCCACGGAAAGGGAACCAGAGGTGGTTTGAGAGCCTTCCTGCTTCTCTACTTCCCAGCTGTACCACCATCTCAGGTCCTTCTCAGGGGAGGACCAGAGTTCCTGACACTCATGTGTACATCCCTGAGGGTCCCAGGGAGAGGATAAAAAAGAGGACAGTTTGAGATACACAATCACAGAGATTTTACTGACCTCACAGCATCCGGGGACATCATGGGAGCAGGTTCTTTTCCAGGGACATGTGTTTACAGGCATATGGAAGCCCTCATATAATTAACAATAGGAAGGGAAAGTTCTGGTATTTGTCTCTCTGGAGTATTATTTACTTTGTGACTCCCACAGTGTAGTTCTGTCTGGCACATAATTCGGTTCTCCTAGACCCTTTTAAGACTCACATTGTGCTTTAAAGAGCCCAGCTACTGCATTCTACATACTGATAACAGAAATTAGGTTCTTTCAGAGGCATACGAAATACTACAAATGAGGCTAATGAAGAAAGTATTTTCCTTCTATAGCAGTTTGCTGAGAAAACAAAGAAAAATGGGGAAATTCTGCCTTGAGAAAACAATGTCGGATCCCTGCATCAGACACTGAGAAAGGGGGAGGGAACAGACTTAAAAATTTTTAACAAAGTGCCTTTCAGAGCACTCTGCCCCAACTGTTTGAGGACTGGCCCCTATATGGTTAATATCTGACCTCTAAGAGAAACGCCCAGCTCCCCCGCCACCATCAATAAGTCAGGTCCCTTCTTCAAGAGACAGCGGTACCCCTCCTCTGAGGTCAGAGTCCTCTTCTGGCCTGGTGAGAGATGCCCGCCACAGAGGGATGGGGGAAGGGGGAGGAAGTCATTCCTGAGGCTAAAGTTTGGCTGTGTTTGGAATGTGGCCAGGGAGTGACACGGGTACTACAGGGCTCTTCTTCTTGGCTCTGCATGGCCGTTCACAACTCCCCAGGCAGTCGGCTTGCACTGGAAGCACAGCGGAAGCCTAGGTTGTCTGAGGCTGAATCTGGAGTGTTGCCCATCCTGCCACCAGAGAAGAGGAAAGAGAATGGACATTCGTTGAGAAAGGGGCCTGGAGCCTTACCCAACTTTCATGCTCAACCTCCTAGGGTCTGCTGTGGTCCAGGGTGCCTGAGGACTGAGGGCAGGGTCTAGGAAGAAGCCTAGTGTGAGGGCACTCCTGGGGAAAAGGGCATAAGAAGGGACTTGGGACAGGGTGTAGGAAGTGTGACCGAGCAGTCATGAGAGTCTGCTCTGGAAGGCAAGAAAGGCGGTGACTAGTAACTTCAACTTCTCATAGTTTAGAATAACTCAGCCAAAAAAAACCTGTCAGTAAGAAGCGAGAATACCAGAGTGCCAATGAGTACTTCATACTTTTCAAAAGACTTTTGCACATATTCCTTCATTTGCCTTTTCTCCACACCGCTGGCAGGCAGGATTTGTTCACCGTTTTACAGACCGAATCAGATACTAGGAATATGCAAATGTCTTGGCCAAGGCCAACCACTGCTTCATGGGCACAAGAGATCCAGTGGCAAACCCAGCTTCCTGGTTCCCAGGCCAGTACTTTCTCCACTGCTTTGTCCTAGAAAAGGAGGTGAGGGAAAGCAGGGGCCTCAATGTATCCAAGAAACATCTGCAAACCTGACTTCCTGAGGCCACAGAAACCGTGGTCTCTTTCTAGTCCTTCTGGAACCCAGGAATGGGAGGAGGCAGAGGGAAATCATCAAAATAAACCTACAGATGAGCAAAGTTGAGAGAGTCCCAGCAGGGGACTTGGGAGCCTGGGACCCTACCATTCAGGTGCCAGCATTAACCATCTGTGTGACATGAGTGGGTCCCAGCACCTCAGCCAACCTATTTTTCCTTGACTGTAAAACAACATCGTTCTAGAAAATGATTTTTCGGGGCACCTGGGTGGCTCAGTCATTAAGCATCTGCCTTCAGCTCAGGTCATGATCCCAGGGTCCTGGAATGGAGCCCCACATCGGGCTCCCTGCTCAGCGGGAAGCCTGCTTCTTCCTCTCCCACTCCCCCTGCTTGTGTTCCCTCTCTCACTGTCTCTGTCAAATAAATAAATAAAATCTTAAAAAAAAAAAAAAGAAAGAAAATGATTTTTCATGTGCTTTCCAGTTTGAAGGGTGAGTATTTCCATGACCAATACTGATGTGGCCATTCCACTGCCCTGCCTCTGCCACCAGTTACAAGGACGAGGGGAGAAACCCTTATGATGCTGGACACACAGTCTCTCCGGGTACCGAGAGCTGGCAAGAAAAGGCACAAGTTGCCTGAAGCCCTTTTGCTTCTCATGGCAAATGCTGTGTATGCTCTCTTCTGTCCCCACAACTTGGGGTGCAGATAGAGGAGTGGAAGCAGCATTAACACCAGCTCTGGGAGACCAGGACCCAGACCCTCGGCCCCCAGCTACCAGTCTCCTCACCTGGTGGTGACCCGGGCCCGGTGATTGGCAGAGCCATCAGCTGTGTCGATCCAGGATGCCCCCCGAAGGACACGCATGTCCTGCCCTGTAGCCTGGTATGGAGATGCTGTCCACTCCCACACGTTGCCCAGGAGGTCATAGAGCCCTGCAGCACAGCAGGTGGTCAGTTCCAGGCTGGGCAGTACCATCCCCCATCCCCTGCCCCCTAGGTATCAAAGGCTTCGGGAAGCTTCCCTCGTGGTGTTTCTCTCTGCCTCATCTTTCAGGCAGAATGATCCCACCAACCAGTTTGTGAGTATTGACAGCAACATGATAGGAAATCTTACCATAGTTATTCTGTGGGGGGAAAGCATCCACTGGGGAGACTCCATGGAAGCCATCCTCAGCCTTGTCATCCTTGGGAAAATTTCCCTAAGGGGTAGAAATTTAAGCTAAAAAATTTACCATCCTGTTCCAAGGTGGATGTTCCTGCTTGGCCAGAGGAAAACCAAGGTCATATGGCTGTGTCATCTGGGGTAGGATGAAGGCCATGAGGCAGTGAACTGAGGTGCCCATCCTGAGCTCCCAAACTAGTCACCTCATGTCCTCCACCATTACTTCCTGGCTGGATTAGGAACTGTGTGGTTTCCCTGTGCCCACAGCGGTCTGTGTCAAGCCCACCCCACTCCCACTTTCTCCACTCTCGGCAGCTTCCACCCCTCTGCCTCGACCCCCACGCGCTTCAGCGCCTTGGGAAGGCTCCTCCTCCCCTCCTCTGCTCAGCACCACCTGCCTCCTCAAGGACCACTGACGCCTGTACCATCTCTTCCCTTCTACCGCCAACAGGTTTAACTCTCCCTCATCTGCCCTGACTCTACTGTTCTCATTTGTTCTTTACCACCAAAATGCTTGAAAAAGGAACCTATATTTGCTGATGCAATTTGTTCAATCTTCTCAATAAAACTGGGGTTCAGCTCCACCTACTCTATGGAAGCTGATCTCACTAAAGGGAAGATGAAGAGATAATTATTTACTCAACAGCTACTATGTGTTCAGGCTGCCACATTTCTCTCTCTTAATCCTTACAAGGCTGTGAGGCAAGTATTTTCTCCCTTTAAAAAACTGGCAACTGAGGCTCAAAGTGGTTAATTTATCAGAGATCACACAGTGAATCAGATCTTTTTGCAAAGCTCTGACCCTAAGATCATCTAAAAGATCAGTTTAGGGCACCTGGGTGGCTCAGATGGTTAAGCGTCTGCCTTCAGCTCAGGTCATGATCCCAGGGTTCTGGGATCGAGTCCCGCATTGGGCTCCCTGCTCCTTGGGAGCCTGCTTCTCCCTCTGCTTCTCTCTCTCTCTCCCCCGCCCTCTCTCTCCTCCTCTGTCTCTCATGAATAAATAAATAAAATCTTTAAAAAACAAAAAAATAAAAGATCAGTTTACCCCTTGGGTTCTTTTTAATGCTTCCCCCCCTGAAATGCTGATGCTGTGCCCTCCCTTACTCTACAGAGTCTCCTTGGGGGATAACATTCTTGCCTAAGATATATGCTGATGACTCCCAAACCACTTGCTCTGACCCAGACCTCTGTCCGAAGATCTAGACTCATATTTTCAATGTTTGAGCATATAAATGACAAAGGGCACCTTAAACTAAGCTGATGCTAACCCCATCAAGTTCTATCCCTCTGACCCCAAATGCATATCATCTATTCTGGATAATGGTAGCACCGTCACCCTGTTGCCTAAGCTTAGATTCATGCTTCAATCCAACTCCCTCCCACTTTTCCACTTTATTACCAAACCCCGTCTATCTTACAGGCATGCCTCTCCCATTTGGCTTCTTCCCCATTCCACTTCTACTTAATTCACATGTTCACAATCCCCTGGGCCATTGCCACAGCCTCAAATTCAGAGACACCTCCCACCCCGCCACCACTGCAGCTCTATTTCATTTAGGCCTGCACAAATTAGCAACTAGCATCCTCCCCAAATCAAATTATGTTGTTAGTCCCCTGTTTAAAAACCTTCATCGGCTCCCCACTGCCTACAGAGGAAAATCTAAAAACTGTATCTTGGCACACCCGCTCCTTCATAATCCGCCTACAACCCACTGTCTACCTCATCTCCTACACCTCCCGTTTCCCTGTGCTCCAACCTCTCTGAATTTGTCCATCTCTGAACACACAGTACCCTTTCCTAATACGGTGCTGACACTCACGTTGTTCCTTCTGCTGTGAATGCCCTTTCCTCCACTTTTCACTTGGCAAACTCCTATTCCAGCAGCTCCAATGTCATCTTCTCTGTGAAGTCACCCCCACCACTCGCAGGCAGTCATTTACTTCTACAGCTCTTCAGTATGCAGCCCCACCACACAGCCTTTTGCTTTACCAGTTTACCAGTCCCACTGGAACACAAAGCCCTCTGCAGTCCCACAGCCCAACTCGATGCTTAGCCTCAGGGGGTTTCATTCAGTGCTTTGAGAAGGGACAGGGGTGAGGAATGTATGTCGTACCTGCCACAGGTTGGTGCGGTTTGGCTGGAACTGGTTTCCCCATGGGTAAAGCTGACCTGCCAGGAGAACAAGGAGAGAGTGGGGGAGGGAGAGGCGAAGGGTCGTGGAAGAGGGAAAGACAGAGAGAGTGAGGGAACCAAAAGGAAGTCAGGAGGTGATGAGAAAAGGAGAGAGACATTACTTACTTTTATTTCCCATGCCTGTCCCTTCCACTCACTGTCCCGCATTCAGAGCCCCTGGCCTCCTGATCTGCTCCAGGACAGTGCAATCCCAGGTGTGGTTCTGACTAATGCCAGTCTGGTAAGGTATCTGTTACCAGATCTTGTCCAGATAAGTACAGAAATTGAGAGTAAGATTTCAGAAACTTGTCAATTAGACTTAGATTGGATCAATAAACAAGCAACCTCATTTATCACAAGAATTTCGACTATTGGTATAGCTGGTGTTTAAAGAGCAGCAGAGGTGTGGAACATGGGGAGTTGCTGTTTCCCTCTCCTAACTTTTTGTTCAGTTAGGATTGCAAAACTTCATTGTTTGTATGAGTCCCTTCACACCTATGGAAAAAGCAGTCTGGGTAATTCTTTTCTTCTGCTATGTTGTTCTGATTATCTTAATTGAAATGTAACATGCCTGGGTGGAATCTCCAAGAATAAGAAGTTTTATGTCTGTTTCTTTATTCCAGTTTTCCAGTTATTAATTTTTTTGGCATTTTACACAAGTTTTGGTCTGAGATGGATCAGAATTGAAAACAGTAACGACTGGCCCTCCACCACACAGTTTAAGAAGCACTGCTCTAGGGAGTATGGACCCTTCCCACCCTTCAAAGCTCCCCATGCAGGACAGGATGGGGA